ATGTTACAAAGGTTTACATACTCTGAGTAGGACTCTAGAAGGTTAGGCAATTTAAAATACAAAAAGATTAAATTTGTATTATATATATATATATAGATGCTTTCTCAATCCGCAGAGGCAAATCTGGTTATCCACAAACTATTTTCTTTATGGATTTGCTAACAGACTTAAAATAGCATCACATGAGGTCAGTGGAACAAGTTTTAATATGTAGCACAGTCTGATGACTTTGGAACAAACTACCATGTGATTATGTTGTAAGCTGTTGCGTTTCCATCGTCCGTCCCTTTGTGACCTCGCTTGGCCAACACCAGTCCATAAATCAGCCGGCCAAAGTGACCGGACTGTGCCAGAGCCTAAGAAGTTTGTCTTCAAGATTACAGCTCAAGGTCTCAAATGTTATAGTGAGATTATCAAATGAGGTTAATCAGTAAAAGAAACATGGGCCAAAAAAAATCTAAGATCAGACACAGGGGGGAAGAGATGATTTATCAGCAAAATTATGAAAAGGGTTGTAAAAGCAAAATAGACATAGCACTTATGAAAGCCCTCACAGGCAGACAGAAATGTCTGGTAGCGCTCAGGTATGACGTTGTTGTGTCGGGTGTCTCAACAAACGAGGTGAGTCACACGCGGCACAGCGGGCACATCTGGAAGTCGAACTACGGGACCAAAGATGTTCTCGCAAAAACAATGACTGGTCTCTTTCAGCAGCTTACCACAGCACACCTGCTTGAGGCGAAATTGTGGCTTATGTGAGGGAGGCACATGAACACTTACTGTATATACAGTGTAGTCTAGGGGAGATTTTTCCTTCTCCATTGTTTTATGAAAAAGGAATACACACCATCCATTTTGGTGTGAGTAAATGCGACAATTATTTTCTTGTTTACAAAACCTGCTCCACTTCTAAATTAACTGTGCAATAGTTCTTTTCTCTTTTTTGATTTGCAAAAGCACTGCTCATTTGTTCCTGTTGATTTAACTTGAAATCGCAGCCAGCAGCGGTCACAATATAAAACGTCCTCCAAGGCTGCTTATCTGCTCCCTAATGGCCCTTCTTGTTTACAGAAATTACACTAATGCCCCAAAGTAATGGCCATTAGTATATTTAAGTGAGTGGACATTTCAGAATCACTGCACAGAGGTCATTTTCAGGGAGGAAACTTTGACAGATTAGCTGTAACTTTGCACCAGACATCACCCTGATAGGTTTATCAGCTAAAAGGAGGAGATCCACCAAACAAACAGGCAGACAAAGCAGTTTTCAGGGTTAATCTCCACTGTTTGCAGTGTGTCTGCATAGATAAGGTGGCGACTTGACTTTTTTGAAGTTAGACTCAGCTCTCTGCAGGGTTGTTATGACCTCCGTTTCAGTGGCCTTGTTAATCCTCAAGTGATAATGTGTGGATGTCTGCGTGTTTTAAAAAAGCTGACCTGCCTAAACTGTTAGTGTGGAGCGACTCGTGTCATTCAGAAACAAGATGTTAATCCCGAGAAACTATGCACTTTTATGATTCTCCTGAATGTTTTGATGCATGCTCGATCATCCTGGTAAGGAAATCTCAAGAAGTTGATTCCAAAAAAACGTCCAGGATGAACAGAATCAACTTTTTGGGATTCTCCTAAACATTTCGGAAACAGTTAAACTGAACAAAATGCCCAAAAGGTTTAGAAGTATAAATGAGCCACAGTCCCTCACCTCACATCAGACGTTCACATGGTGTCTCGTCCCTGTAATCTACTAGCTCAATCTAGGCTTTATAATCTTGTGACTCTTTAGGAATGGATTTGGGACCCCCTTAGAAAATAAAATCTGCCTCCTGCCCCCTCTATTTCCCAGAAAACAGGGTAATCTCTCTGCAAAGCTACCCCCCCATACACCCCCGCGGCCACACCACGACCCAGTAAAACTCACGCAGGCACAGACACGCAACCACACACATGCATGCATACGTCCCGGCACCCATCATCCATCTGTATCTCTGCTGAAATCTGATCACCCATCTCCAAAGGCAGGCCTGCCTGAAAATAGATCGATTTTTCTGCTCTCATTCATACTTTCTA